TTGTGTGTACAAGCAAATTTTGCTAAATGTGTAGAACATATAAACATGATCAGAAAAAATATATAAAGGCCAAAATGCTATAAATGAAAAGAATAAAGATGAGTATCGATGCTTACTTATGTTATATTTTTTAATAGAACGTATCTATTTATCAATACATTGGTATGCAAATCTATCACTGAAACTATCTTATGATGTCATTATCATACACTAATCTGTAAGTAAACAAATTTTTATGAATAGAAAAAAATTTTTATTTAGCTTTTCTAAAATTATTTTTTATGATTATTATTACTTTTTTGCATTCAAATTGATAATCAATTTAATATTTTATTCTATCTTTTTTTCAGTTATTCACGTTTACTTGTACGTTATCATTGGTTTATACTTGGCTTTGTCACATTTATTTGCATAACTCTAACAATTATTGGTTTTGTTCTTACAAAATTTCCGGATCTTACTGACCCAAGAATAATAAAAATCATATTTAAAAAAAGAAGTTATGTGAAATAATTCAATATTTCTGTATCTTAGGGATGGGGAGCGCGCGGAAAAGGGACAATATTTTCACAATTAATGGTTTTACGTCATGCATCAGAAAGGTTTCGTCTTGCTTATGAAATACCATTAGAAGAAGATGAATCGTTTGGTGTATTTGCACAATTTCTTAATGTAACTGTTGATCAACTTGATGAAAATTCATATCGATCTGATATATTGGCTAAATATGATTTATGGAGAAAAAAACAATCAAATCAAACTTCTGATAAATTATATGATTATCAAGATGTAAATGAATCATTTTATGATAATGACTTAAATGAAGATGATACATCTGATTACTATGATGATAAAAATTCACAATCATCATCAATTTATCAATGGCATCGTGATCAACATTTTGATATTAAAAATTTAATAACAAAATATGTTGATGATAAAATGTAAGATTTTTATTTTTCCAATGCTTAATTCATATTTTGTTTGTTTAAATATAGAATTAATATTACTGTAATGGATTTTGTTAAAAATTTACCACAAATTAATAGAAATAATTATCAAGCAAATCGTTTACCTTTTGAAATGCTTCGATCATATGCTTATCTAATTGAAGAAAACTATCGTGGTCGATTAGGTACTTACATTTGAAATATTGAACGAGCACTTAAGGCTATACATTTATTTGAAACAATTGGAGTATATGGATTCTTTCTGTTCAAATGTTTCTTAGAAGTAGTATATAGAATCTGATTGAAAGATTTCTTTTTTCTCTTATGCTCCGTTATAATAAGTGAATTGAAAAAAGAATCTTCAAACATGGAAAAACCGTTGATTTTAAGATGTATATACAATATCTGTTTTCGATATATAGAATAAATCGAAGATTAATTTACAATTCAAATATAATTTATATTCTTCTCTTAATCTATTTTAATCTGAATTCATTTTAAGGTCGTGATGGTATGATAGAAT